GTTTTTTCCACCTCCTTGCACTATCCTTTGTGCAAAGATAAAATCTCATCATCTCTGTTTCACTGGTTTCCAGACTGTTCTGTTTATTATGAACAACAGAATTTTCCAATTAATATTTCTAAAAAGAAAAGATTGCTTTACAATGGAACAAGTGATTCACTTTATTTGGTCTTATCTTGCACTGATTGATTCATAGAAATTTCTTCTGAGCAACCATGGTTTTCTATAACATTTATAGAAACATCTATAGCAATCACAGAACTCTTGTCCTTATGAAGTCTCAGAGCACTCCCAAGTACAAAACACAATACTAGCAAAGATATCCAATTGTCTTTTATTTAATGACTTCAATTTTGTGCTCATAATCTTGGAAATGGAAACGTCAAATTTTATTTTCAAAAATAAATTTATTATTATTACCTAGAAAAATAAAACTGCATTAGAAGTACATCCTTTGTTTGTAAAGTCTTCTGTTTAGAGGTTAAGAAATCCCAGATGAAAGCTTGCTGTGCAGCTGCAAAAGTCTGTTTCTTTATTTTACCTAATGACAATCTCATATGAGGTAATTAAAGGCCTGCAACAGAAGCTGAAACACAAGAGTCTCTGGTTCTATTAATTTTTAATCATTGTACTGCAGAAATATAAATTTACATTAGATCTTGTATTAGAAAAGTTTAGTCACAGGGTTTCAAAACTGATCCTGCATCAGAGATTTGAGTAGTCCGGTGGTGATCACATTTCTCTGCCCTTGATTGCACATTGTTCACAGGTCATCATTTGCCAAACAAACAGGCACTTATTGTTCATTGTCATCATTTGCCAAACAAACAGGCACTAAAGGCCAGCCTGCAGAAAAACTTCGCCATCCTTTACTCTTGGCTGCTTGTTCCTGCTTCTTGGCTTTGCCAGTACAGTGATTTGTAGGTCTCTTGCAAACCAGATGACCAAAGCACTTCAGACTACAAAGCAGACTTTCAGTCGCAATGGCACAACTGGGGGACAGTGAACAGCAGTGTCGGCAGAGAGGAAAAAGAGAATATTTTCAGCTGATTTTTTACAGAAAGTGTAATGTCAAACCTTACCCACAGGCAGAGAGGAATTTTAACATAGGACTTGTACACCAGAGATGAGTGATCTAACCAAAGAACATCAGATGAGAGAGTCCCCTGAATTCTTGTATTGGAAAAGAAAAGCATGACCTTTATTTCATTTAGAAAAGGAAAAGGTTTGGCACCTGCCTTCTGGTTAATAATTTGAATTCTGAATCTGAAACACAGAAAAATGTCTCCCCAGCAGTAAGGGAGCTTTTAAAACTTATCCCTGGATCTCTTTTTTTTTTCTTTTCATTTAGCTGAGTACTGCAAGTTTTCTCTCAGAAGTTGTGATCGATCTACTTATATGTACATCAGTCACTGCTGTTACTAGGAAACCATTGGGTTTTTCCTCTAAAGAATTGTTATAAATAAGCACCATGCCATGAAATAAGATCCCTGTGTATACTGCCTCTGCTTCCAACATAATTAAGATCAGGAAAAATCTAATTTTAGTGTAATTTGCTGGGTTACATTAAATTATCTTGATGGATCATTCGTACCTAATTGCTTTGGACTACAGCTTCATTGCATTCTATAATTCTGAGAGTAAATTTAAATAAAGGATAAAGTAGGCTGAATAATACTTCTGTTTCCAAGGTCCTGTCCTAGAACAGAATAAAAACCCCAAAACATTTCCTATGTAAGCTACAGGAAAAAAAACCTCCGTGGTTCTACTAGTGTCTTCAGGTCATGAGCTGTGTGTTACTCAAATTCATCTTATGCTGACTTCAGAAGAACTATAGAGAAGAGTTAGTTTCATATTCTTGAAAACAGCTGTGGTATCTAAGAGCTGCAAAATCCACAAACAGGATTCTTCTTCTCTCTTAACCTTTTAAGGCCCAAATATGACTGAAGGAGGAAGCTTAGAAAGCTGTGGATCTTTAATTCTTTACTGCAAAAGCTTTCCCTGTATTTTTAGTTTCAAAATCCTTACCGCTGACACAAAGTGTAACTTTGGAGACACTGCAGTACCTAAGACTGCATAAGGCCTGATCAGCTGTATGAGTATTAAAATAATACTTAGTAGGAATGCAAATAAAATAATCTCTTAGAATTTCCAGTATGTGATATAACGACTTATAAGAAAAAGATGAAAAAGACTCTAAATTTTGGAAATTTGCTACTTAGAAGTCTTAAGCCAGTTTGGAACCATTGGAATATTTCATTATTTTGCCTCCATTGTTTTTTATTCATTTATTGAAATATATTCACATAGTTAACATTGCTTCTTTTAAAATATAAGCTGAAAGCAAACATATTGCATGGATCGCTTATTTCCTAAACTCACAAATTCTCTATTGCCCATAGCTTTGTCATTTCATTTGAACTAATGTCCTTCTTTCTTTTTGTTATTATTTTCATAGATTGATGTCATACTGTTCAGCTTGAGCCTCAGCCAAGTGTTGTAGACCTTTTGGCTCTGTTGAGTGTGTCTATATGTTTTGGGTCTGTCCTTCTCTCTTCTCTTTCACTGCATATCCTAGCAGTCAGGAAAGAAGAAGTCACATATTTTCATTAACCCCTTCGGTTACAGAATGGCTAAAATCAGCCCTGTTGTGAGATTTAGCAGCTACAAATTTTCTTTTAAAGAATGGTAAGGGATGTGCTAGTTTTTGAGGCACACAGACAGGAAAGAAAAGACCTGAATTTAATTTCCTTTTTAACCCAAATAGGTTCAGATTCATCTTTTGCATTCCAAGAGACTGCCTTAATTCCTTAGCTAGAAATTAGTTTAGTAGGGGCACTCTTCATCACTGAATTAAAGCTACACTATTCTACAAAAGTGAATTTGAAATTAATGATATGAGATACAGCACATGACATGAATAGGCCTGAATTTATGGAACTCCCTTAGTTGGTAAGTGTCTTTACTCCTGCTCATTGTCACAGGGTATGTATGTTTTACATTTTTTGGATAAAATACATTAAGAGAATGGAGGAAAATGATACTTTGACATACTTTTTTATCTTTATTCATAATAAAGAGACAAATTTTACATAGGGAATCACATGGCTGGTTTAACAGTTCCTTATGCCCCTAAAATACATATGATTATAGCTTCTAGGTAAAAAGAAAACAGAATCTTACATCCTTAGAAGGAAAAATGCCAGATTTGGAATTCAAAATTTAAACCTACAATCATGCAGCTTTGTATGTTAATGTTTGCATTTAATTAAAAAAATCAAACTGACAGTAGGTGTGATGCAAATCCCAAATAAAAATAAAAAAATTATCAAAGGTCTTACTTAATATCATGGTCAAAAGTTAGTCAAAGCAATAAAGCCTTTAAGGCTGTTCTCAAACATGACTGGTGCTTTTCCTTTATAGCTCAGACCTCTCACTCCCCATACACTTTAATTCAGTTTGATGCAAAAGCTTCTTGAATCAGAAAACATTTAAACCTCTCATCTCAGTCATGTTTTGATAGCCAATGTGAATTTGACCAGTGAGTGAGTAGTAAAAATACACATAAAAATTCATCCTGTTTGTTTGTGCTGTGAAAGGGATTTTTATGACCATTAACATGCCACTGGAAATTCAGTCTCTAGTTTTATTGTCTCCAGTGTCACTAAGATGTACTTTTTATTCTATTTTCCATTTAGTTGGTTTTTTTCCTCTCTTGGTCCCAATATTGCTCTGATAGATTTGTGTTCAGGGGAATCATGATCTTTTTTTCATGAGAAAGTCAGTAGCATGCTATAGCCAAACTTTTTCAAATACAAGTTAAGACAAAGTTTTCCCAAATCAGGGGAACATCGTTCTTGGTTCCAGTACTTCTGGGCCAGTCTAGAAAGCTGCTAGCTGTTTTGAAACATTTCAGTGTGAGCTGAAATTTCTGTAGTTGAAGAAAAATATGATTTTGCATTCCTACAGATAGTGCATGTATTATAGACATTTTTAAAAGCATTATGCAAAATCATTTTAAGTCCAGGCTTCAATATACATTTCAAAAAAAAAAAAGATAACTTGTGTTGCATGAAAATATGCACTTTGGAAATTTACTTTTTGTTACTAATTAAGTCTGAATTTCAGAAGGGAATTCTGAGGTAGACAAATTATCAGGTTACAGAATTGGTTCATAGGAATCACCTGAGTTTCATCAAAGGCTTTCCACACATTTTCCTGTCTGTGAGCAAACAAGCCATGGTTATATGAGATTCACAAGCCTATCTCAAAAAGCATCTGACACATCCTCCTCCCAACCACTATTCTGATATGTGCATCATATTCCCAACTCCAGTTCATTTTGAAATGACGATGGTGCTGTGTTTCACTGAATCATAGAGTCATAGAATTTAAGGGTTGGAATGGACCTTACAGATCATCTAGTCCCAACCTTCCCTTACCATGGGCAGGGACACCTCCTCACTAGATCAGGTTGCACAAGGCCACAAGTTTGTTTACCTGACAAACTGGCATCCTGTTCAAAAGCCAAGGCCACAAGTTCGTTTTCCTGACAAACTGGCATCCTGTTCAAAAGACATGAAGCAGCATTTGTAGGACTAATCCCTTCGAAACTACTGGTGTTACTCAAGCTGTTACTCAAATTACTCAAGTACTGGTGTTACTTCAGGTAAAAAAGAGGTGCATTAATTATCTGTCAGCTCTAACTAACATAACCAAGATTTACTGAGTAGAAAATATAGAGATATGATACTCTGAAATTAAAAAAAAAAAATCTGGCCCTAAAGCATGCTTGAATTGGATCTGGGACCTTCTGCCGTCTCTGGGAATCTTTCATCCGCTTGTGCCTTCAGCCACAGGAAATACCAGAAGGGCCCAACGTAGCATGTCTGTTCTCCAGGTGCCCTGGCACCATGGGGCACTAAGAAGTCAGTCGAACTAAGTGGTGAAAGGCTTCAAAGCCCAGTTACATCATCTGCGTTCATGTGTCCCCACTCCAGGTCACGGCCTCAGCTCAGCAAAGGTGTCCCGTGCGCAGACGTTTCCCAGCTACCCGTCGGAGCAGGGCGAGGAGCACCAGCAGTCCCTCTCGCTGGCCAGCAGCTACACCTTCAGCTATGGTTCTGGGCTGGTGCAATGACAGCCAGGGGCGGCCGGCCGAGACAGACATTGAGCCTGGAGCCTGCCGCCAGGGCCGGGGAGCCACTGGCCCCCTCCACACCCACCATTTGCCATGAAACTGATGCCTACCAGCGCCAGCTGGGTCACCGCCGATGCGGAAACCTGGAGAGGCGGCTTCCCTGAAGCAGAGGCTAAGTCTTTATTTATTTATTTTGCCGTTCCTTTTGTCAATATGTTCAGAAAGGAGGGGGTTGGGGGGGATGGTGGGAGGGAAGAAAGGGGACACATTCGTGTTGTGAGAAAGTGGTGGAAACAAATGAAACTGTGTTGGTTGGTGTGAAGGTTTCTGCATGACCAGAGAAGGTCCTTTCTGGGTTCTCCATCACGATGGCACATTTGACATTGGGGCCTTCCTTCCTGCCTCCACCAGCAGGCTGGCCTGTCTTCACCTGTAACCTTTTTAGGTCCTTGCTGCAGCCCGCTGATTCCCGCCGGAGTCACTGAAATGTCACTGACTCAAGATGCAGCGTCAGTGCTGCAGGGATCACCTACAGATCCAAGCAAGTTCACTCTCAGCCCTAGAGAGTGGTTGGGTATTTTTTGAGGCAGACACCAACATTATACTGGAGTAGCAGGCTGGTATGGCTTGTTCAGAATAGAGTTCGATGCATTAAGGAAAGGTTATTGCATGGTCTGGCTCTAATCTTAAATTCCTGGGGCACAAATTCATCCCTTACTAATGCACACGCAATTCTCACGATGCCCCTGAGAGCTGTGAACGTCCATATCAGTAGCACAGTCTTGTCCTCTGAACTACTGTGAAGTCTTCTTATTTGCAAATTCTTTAGGTAACCATGCCGGCAAGCCTGTCGTTTAAAAAGCGGGATAACTGTTCTTCAGACAAATAAAAGCAGGCCACATCCCTGGCTGGTGACGGCCTGTGCCACAGCTGGGCCAGACATGGTAGAGCTGAGCTCTGGTCTTATCTTTCTGGTCAGCATTAGATTTTCTCTGTTTCTTTCTCAGATTTATGTTTTAGATGCACATTGTATCTTGTATGAACATGTGTCAAGCATCTGTTTACTTTCAAAAAGAGGATGAGTACCTCTCAATGGAAATTTTCTGTCTTTGGAAGACGTCTTTAAAAAATGAACTGTAGTAGATGTGTTTGTAATCAGTAATGAGGGAATAAGTTTGAAGGCATACCTGTAGGTGGGGAATGAGTTTGATCTATCCTGAACATTCAGATTTTTGTAAGTGTTATCAAATATTTATGTACTCCTCACGATGCCCTGAAATGTTTGAAATTGTGAGGAGAAAAATCTGCCCTCTTGTATGATCTGAGCAGCCATGTGTTCTGTTCCCAGTGTGCTGTACGATCTTAGCAGCCATGTGTTCTGTTCCCAGTGTGAAATGATTGCCATGATTACCAGAGGGATTCGTCTCATTGGTTGTTTCTCAGGACAGGTTGAGGAAGCGTATCAAGGAGGAGATACATAGACTCTTTTCCAATGAAACAATCCGTTTTATGTACCATAATTTAACTGAAAAAGTGCTGTTGGGTTGTTTTATATATGCACATATATATATATATATGTATTCAAAAGTACGGAAGAAACTTCTGCTTTTGATTAAACATTTACTGATACAGTATGTTCAGCTTTTCTCCAACCATTTTCCAGGCTAGGAGACCTTGCAGACTTACAGCTTTCCACACCTCAGTGAACAGCTGCTGAATAAAAAAGCTTTGTGATGTGCTTCAATGAAACACTTATACCCCACCACAATCACCTTTATTTATTTTTCCCCTTTTTCCTTGTCTCATTCACTACCTCTTTTCCTTCTCACAGTGCTGCCATACTCAGGAATAGAACAGCTCCCTACAGAGTGTATTTTGATGAGCTAAAATGAAAAACTACTCTCCCACGCTGTCAGGGAGCTGTACCTATGGTGCTCTCTGAGCTGTACCCATCAAGGAAGCTTCATTCACACTTTCATTCAAGAAAAAATTTGGTTGACATTTTGCTTAGGGAAAATTTCCATTTTGCAAATGTTAAATGCAAGATGTGATACAAAAGGATGGATACTCTGCTGCTGTAGTTCTGTTATTCAATGCAGCTTTGCCAAATATATGCCTTTTGGGGAACTGGTCAGTTAATTTTATTCCTTTGCAACTGGGATTCTTTCACTTGCTCTAAAATTATATATTTTCTTTAAAACTCCTTAGATTAAGTTTTCAATATGTTCCACAGATTTTTATGCCATGTCCGTGCAACTGTTTTCCGCTGTGACTTGAATATTAGTCATTTAATACTTATATATTTTACGTAGTCCTCTTAGATTAAGTTTTCAGTATGTTCCACAGATTTCTATGCCATGTCCGTGCAACTGTTTTCCGCTGTGACTTGAATATTAGTCATTTAATACTTATATATTTTACGTAGTCCAAAAGTGGGAAAAAGGCAAAACAGGAGAATATCAGAACTGCTTTACAGATCCAATGCCCATAAACTAATCCTAAAGCTAGTGCTTTAACTGTGTTTAGATAAAAAGCGTAAGATCTATATAATGTGCTCTTTCCATTTCCTGAGGAAGAGTTGCTGTCTGTGGCTTTGTCTTCCTATGCAGTACGTGAATATTGTCTAGTTAATGAAAAATGTAGATGCTATCTTCAAAGAAAACACTTTAAAAAGGAGAGGAAGGGGAAATTTGCCATGTATAGGAGCTTTACTTAATATTTTGCTTTCTTTGCATAATGCAGCCATCCTCTCAAGTCATATATTTATAAAATACCTGTGAGATCTCATTTTGTAGCAATACACAGAAAATTGTACTCCAGGACAAAGCTGTAGGACACAACCAACAGAAAGCAAACCTGACCTCTTGGGAATCTATTTCTTGTAGAGACTAGACACAACCATGCTGGAAGTTGAAAATAAGGGTGCAACTTCACAGTGTACTGGAACACAGTCTAAGAAAACTGGGCACCTGAAGCACAAAGGTATTCAGCAGCCAGCGGATGTTGCCATTAGTGCCACTCCAGACCAGCAGATGATATTGCTGTAACATTTGATGTCTTCTCATAGCTTCTACAAATGTTCCTCAGAAAAGCTCCATGAGAACCAGGCAGGCATTGTGCCAAGAGTTTGCCAGAAAATTCTGTTTTCATGGAATTGCTTTAATTCCTGGCATATACCTGTTGATAATTTAAGTGATGCCTCACTGAGACTACTTTGTACAGCTCCTAGTGCTTCCACCAGAAGGAAGACTCTTTTGGAACACATGGTAGAGCTGTCTGCCTAGAGACTACAATGGTCTTTAAATAGACCCAGGGACCCCATGGGACCCTGTTCAAGTCTCGGCTTTCTTCATGTGCGAGGCACACAGATAATACATCTATTCCTGACCCAAGAGTTGCTCTCTGTTTTTAGCTAATGAGCTGCGAAGAGATGGAGGGCAACAAAATGTCGTCAGTGGTAACCAGGTGCAGCTGATACAAATGGAACTTAGCATTAGTACATTATAAAATAGAAGAAATAAAATAAGGCTGTCACTTTTATTTTGGTTCTGAGGATGTGTTATGAATATGTAACTGCAACCATGGTTTACACTTTTTTTAAAATCACCCTTGATAACAATATATTTACCCCTATGAACAAATTACACAGAGCATTACTGAATATAGTTCCTAATATATCTTAACAGTGAATATTATAGATTTATGCATGCTGGTACTCTTGATTTTGAAGTCACTTGGTGCAGAAAAGGTGAAATTGAAAGAGACTGTAATAAATCATCAAATGGTGCTAAGGAGCTTGAATAGTCCCATTTTTTAAACAGCTACATGTTGTTATTGATAGTTTTAATCGTCTGTAGGTATATTCGTTTGAAACAATGTTATCTACTTATGTAAAGGAAAAAGAAAGATGAATCCCTTGTAGTATGGAGTTTTCTGTTTTACTGAATAAATATTTAGGCTTTACTTTCTGTGGCAGACTCTGAGTCCAGCTCGTCACATCTATCAGATCCATGCAATGTTCTGTTCTTTGTTATTTTTTGTTCTTTGGGGTTTTTTGATGAGTTAGTTTTGGGGTTTTTTCCACAAAAACTACAAGCAAAGCTTGAACATATATTGACAAACCAAAGAAGTTTGTTAGGCATTGGCAGTAGCTGCTCTCTTTTGTTTTGACAAGAGTCTATCATAACATTTTGGGAAAGCACTTCACAACACATGTATAGAAATCCTGGTGAGGAGAAAACTCTAATCGAGTTTTGTTCGAAGCTAATAAGACTTTGCTGGAGGAAGGGTTGAAACTGAGTGTCTGAGGGCAAAAGTCTTTGAAAGTGCTCTCTACAGCAATAATTTAAGTACAAAATACAGCCTTCAGGCACCCATTTATTTAGGAGCCGCGAAGTGCAGGCAGTCCTTATCTGCTTATGGTAAAGTGGAAAAAAGATCAATCATTAATCTCTGTATTTTATCAGAAAATGAATGAACTTCATGCTTGTTCAGCACTCCAGTCTAATAGGCAATAATATGAGGAGAAGTGATTTTTTGAGATATTTGATCTCTAGGAAAGGACAAAGACCACCAGCCTGTAGCAGATAAACCTCTACGCAGCTCACCAGCCACATGTACGAGTTTTCATCTGGTAACCTAGAAACTGTAGGGTAGTTTTCCATGAGCAAGTATAAGTATAATAAGTATAATAGCATGAGATATAGAATTATTTACAACTGTTTCTTCCTAAAACAGGAATGAATAAGTAATTGTCTTGAATGGCTATGCTTTTTAGCATGAGATATAGAATTATTTACAACTGTTTCTTCCTAAAACAGGAATGAATAACATGTTCTGATTAATATCCTCTTTAGTATTTAGTATCAGTATATTGTAGCTCCTTTTTATACCTGCTGCAAAGGAATAAATGTGTGTTTATCCACACACAAAATAGAGTGGAAGGTGGAGAAAGTGTGAAAAGCTGCTGTTTGATTACAATACCAGATCCAACAGCACTG